AGCATAATACCCTCTAGCTCCATTCATGTTGTTGCAAATGGTAGGATTTGTTTTCTTCTTATGGCTGAATAATATTCCATGTGTATATGTACCACATCTTTATCCATTCATCTACTGATGGACACTTAGGTTGCTTCCATTTCTTGGCTATTGTAAATAGTGCTGCGATAAACATAGGGGTGCATCTGTCTTTTTCAAACTGGAGTGCTGCATCCTTAGGGTAATCTCCTAGAAGTGGAATTCCTGGGTCAAATGGTAAGTCTATTTTGAGCATTTTGAGGAACCTCCATATTGCTTTCCACAATGGTTGAACTCATTTACATTCCCACCAGCAGTGTAGGAGGGTTCCCCTTTCTCCGCAACCTCGCCAACATTTGTTGTTGTTTGTCTTTTGGATGGTGGCCATCCTTACTGGTGTGAGGTGATATCTCATTGTGGTTTTAATTTGCATTTCTCTGATAACTAACAATGTAGAGCATCTTTTCATGTGTCTGTTGGTCATCTGAATTTCTTCTTTGGAGAACTCTCTGTTCAGCTCCTCTGCCCATTTTTTAATTGGATTATTTGCTTTTTGTTTGTTGAGGAGTGTGAGCTCTTTATATATTTTGGATGTCAAGCCTTTATTGGATCTGTCTTTTACGAAAATATTCTCCCATACTGTAGGATACCTTTTTGTTCTATTGATGGTGTCCTTTTCTGTACAGAAGCTTTTCAGCTTGATGTAGTCCCACTTGTTCATTTTTGCTTTTGTTTTCCTTGCCTGGGGAGATATATTCATGAAGAAGTCGCTAATGTTCACATCCAAGAGATTTTTGCCCATGTTTTTTTCTAAGAGTTTTATGGTTTCATGACTTAGATTCAGGTCTTTGATCCATTTCGAATTTACTTTTGTGTATGGAGTTAGACAGTGATCCAATTTCATTATCTTACATGTAGCTGTCCAGTTCTGCCAGCACCATCTGTTGAAGAGACTGTCATTTCCCCATTGTATATCCATGGCTCCTTTATTAATTGACCATATATGTTTGGGCTAATGTCTGGAGTCTCTAATCTGTTCCACTGGTCTGTGGCTCTGTTCTTGTGCCAGTGCCAAACTGTCTCGAATGCTATGGCTTTGTAGTAGAGCTTGAAGTTGGGGAGTGAGATCCCCGCCACTTTATTCTTCTTTCTCAGGATTGCTTTGGCTATTTGGGGTCTTTGGTGTTTCCATATGAATTTTTGAACTATTTGTTCCAGTATGTTGAAGAACGTTGTTGGTAATTTGATAGGGATTGCATCAAATCTGTATATTGCTTTGGGCAGGATGGCCATTTTGACAATATTAATTCTTCCTACCCAAGAACATGGGATGAGTTTCCATTTGTTAGTGTCCTCTTTAACTTCTTTTAAGAGTGTCTTACAGACCATGTTATTTTTCACATAAGATTTATATTTCATGTAGACTTTTACAAATATTTAGAAAAAAATATTCTTTTACTGAACAGTAAGTGGTAATTACTTAGGTAATATTTTGAAGGACAACTGCACAAAATCAATGAGAACTTACTTGGTGCTTTTTTTAGTAGTAATTACTTGAATAAGCATGATTTTAATTTTCACTGTTTGAATACTGGAATAATAGGTACAATGGGCCAGACACCAGAAGATGAAAGCTTGAGGGAAGGAATATGTACTTTCCCTGGAAGAATCTGTGAATTTGTTGGGGGAAAGGGCACATAAAACATATATCTGAGGAAGGAAACCAGAACATTTACAAACACTGCTGCCTTATTATTATTTTTGTATTAAGGTATCATTGATATACACTCTTATGAAGGTTTCACATGAAAAACAATGTGGTCACTACATTCACCCATATTATTGAGTCCTCCCCCCATACCCCATTGCAGTCACCGTCCATCAGTGTAGCAAGATGCTACAGAGTCATCACTTGTCCTCTCTGTTCTACACTGTCTTCCCCATGATCCCCCCCACACCATACAAACACTGCTGTCTTATTAAAGGGTAAATTCTACATTGGGCACAAAATATACAACTTAATTATAATGATTGTGTTTAAGGTCTTTTGCCTGATGAAAAGTATTAAGGTCTATGACTTGTTTTATAAGCAGAGGTGTTAATAAATGAAAAGAGGTGGTGAATGGAGTTACCTGATATGAAATTTAAAATGTACCTGTGAACTATATTCTTCATCATTTATAATCAAGCTACATCTTTTACATTAATTTTCAGTTTAGATTAGAAACACAGAAACACAATTTGCTTTTTTTATTGCTATAGATAGTAATTGGCTTTCACATCTTATTTGGGGTTTATTAACAAATGGCAACATCATACAAATTACACACTTGTAAGAATAAGAGGAAGTGAAAGATGAACATGACGTGGGGAGAACAAAAAAGCCTATCGATTGTCACAGAAAGTTAAGAATTAAGAGACAGCATGTTAGCAGGGGAGCATGAAATTATGGGCAAAGAATTTCATGTTTCATATGCCAAGAAACAGAGAGTGATGGTGCTTTTGAAAAATTACCTGCTATTAGATTCTAAAACATTTGAGAGTAATAACTGTCTTCCAGGTTTACATTTACTTCCTCAATAAACACCATGGCAGTATAGGGGATCAAAAATAACCAAGAAATAAACCTTACTCCTCTATGGGCCATGTCTACTAGAGGAGAAATAATGTTTATATAAAAAGCTGTAATAGAAGGTGGACTGTTTTAAATCCCACAGCAGGAATATAGATCAAGTTTCAGGGATTCTGATATGAAGGATTATCTCCAGCTGTACAGCATCAGGAAAGGCTTTATAGAGATGGTGACATCTGAGCTGGACGCTGGAGGATCAGCAGCACCCTGACATAGGAAGATGGGAAGAAGAACATTCTAAGGAGGAGGAGCAGTGTAGCTAAAGTGTTCATGACAGAAAAGAAAGGCAGGTATATAGAGAAGAGAAAACAGCCAAGTTTTCCTGGTCCATTAGAGTTCATTCAGTGAAAAAATGAGCGATAAGGTTAAAAACATGAGTTGAGATCATGTTTCTAGATTCTCGGAAGTGTGTTAGGTTTAAATGAAAGCAGTCGGACTTCATCTGGTAGATAATGAGGAGCTATCAATGGTTTTTTTTGAGTACCCAATCGATACTGAACGTGTTTTTCGAGTGGAAGAGGCGTCTCATGACAGGAACCCTGCTATGCTCCGTACGCTCCTGACGTGCCTAACGGTGATAGCGCGTAGTAATGTACAACAGATTTTAGTTGACTGCACAGAAATACATGAGCAGGGACGCTAGCTAAGTTACTGAGAATGGCTGACATCTCAGCAAGAATGATCAAGGGATGGACCAGCTATGCATCTGTCAGCTTGCAGTATTCGTATTCACCCTCTTCTGCGTGCATGCTCCCTGTATCACAGAGGCTGGGAGGCTAACAACTACATTTCTCAGTCTCCCTTGCTGCCAGAGTTTGAGATGCCGCCCGTGAGATTTGGAAGGTGAAATGCAGGCAGAGGCCATTTTTATCACTATAGCAGTGGTGGGTTCTGGCAGAAATGAATTTTTGCTGTGGACAGACTTCCCATCTCACAGGAAGTGACTAGCTTCCTGAATGTGGGGCAACTGTGAAACTGGCAGCAATTCCTTGACCTCTGGGTGTTGTTGACATTGATTTCCTGGCCTCTGGTTCACAGCTACAAGGTTATAGCCTCAAAACACAGCAGCCGCATGATCTTTCCATCTATCAGGGCCTCTTCTCACCTTTCTGTGGCTTGTCCAATGATTTTGTATCACCTGATTTCCTGTATTAAATTCCTTTCTACATGAGATACTTAAAATGGTTGCTGTTCCTGCACTAAACCTTGACAGGAACAGGGGAAAGGAAACTTGCATAGCACAGGGAAACAGTCATTGAAGGACAAGTCATTATGGGATGGAAGAAAAGGACTTCAAGTCTGAGGTCCTTGTGCACTGTAAAGGGCATCAATGTGCCTTTCAGTCTGTCTCAGTGCAGGCTTTTGTCCTCAGTCCTCTCTTTCATCTACTTTAAAAACAATTACAAAAATAATTAATATTCATTGTACACAACCTGGGAAATACAGAAGATTATAAAGAAGGAAATAAAAATCACCTGTAATTTTACCAGAGCTAACTTCTTGGATCAGTAAGGAAGAGGTTCAGCTGTAAGTGACAGGAAACTCAAATAGCCGTAGCTTAAGTGAAGGAGACTTCTATTTCTTTCTCTCTCTCACATAAACAGAACTTTTCAGTAAGCAATCCAGAGGTGGTATGGTGGCTCCATGATCATCAGGAACCCAGACTCCTTCTCTCTTGTAGTCCTGCTGTTTGTTACACATGCATCCACCTCATTGTCCAAGATGACTGCTCTAGCACACTCTATCCTATCTGCATTCCAACCAGTAGGAAGGGAGAAAGACAAATAAGAGCACGTCCCCTCTCTTTAAGGAAATCAAGTGTGACATTTTGCTTATGTTCTTTTATTCCCAGTGGTCATATCTATTTGAAGAGGAAGGTGAGAAACATAATCTTTATTTTGCACAGCTGTGTACTCAGCTAAAAATGAAGGTTTCATCCAAACAAGGAGACACGGAATGATATTGAAGGACAGACAGTTAGCACTCCCAGTCACACACATCACTGTAACCATCCAGTCTTGCCTCATTTGGGAGCTGGCGGGTTTCCTTTTCTTGGCCTCTTGGTTCCCAACACCACCTCCATCCCAGATGCTAATATCATTTTTTGTCATGTTGCCCTCTCTCCCCTGCCTGGGGCATTTTGCTTGGAATTCTTCTTAGTATTAGTTACTTTACTTTTTAAATTCTATCAGCCTACTCCTGACCACCTGACTTTTCCCTCATCTTATATGTCTACCTGAAAATGTAACACCCCTCTGAGCCCCTCCGGCCAAACTTCTACAATGTTCTCTTATAACATGTCCTTGACTTGGCTTCCAGATCCTTGTCCAAGAAGGGCTTCAGGCTATATTGCCCTTCTCCTGAACCGCTGTTTTATTTTTCCTTCTAAAATCCTATAGTTCTTGAAACAACATCTCCCTTGAAGCTTTTTTGGGCTATGTGAGTTCTTTGTGCACCTCATCTGGGGCTCCAACCAGTATCTCTTCTGTGCCTTCCCAGGGCTGTGAATCATTTTCTGTAATACAAACTGCATTTCTTCTGATTTTTGGCCACTGATCTTTCAGGGTCCTTCTCAGTCCATGAGTTTTCTCCAACCATGTTTTTCCTTTTCCACTTTATCCATTCTTACATTAAAAGCTGCTCAGGGCCTGAAGCCCTCTGACCACAGAAATATATGAAAATACACACTTAATTCATGCATTCTGTTGATGAAGTTTCTCTCTTGGTTCCATTTAGGCTAAGCAAGACTCAAGGAACATCTTTCTGCATCTCCTGGGACCTATGTGGCTTTTACTTACAACACCCTGGGCTTCCCAACACTTAAGGCTTTGAGATGCAACCATTGACACTCCTTAGAAAAATTCCCTGGCTGTGAAAGCTCCTAATGCCTAAATAAGGTAAAGATGCTTTCAAGGAAGTCCAGTTCAGTATAATTCAGAGAGTCTTCTGGGCCTTCAGCAACTACAAAAGTTTAAATTACATTGCAGTAACAAACAACCTTCACATCTTAGTGGCTTTAAACCAAAAAGGCTGATTTCCTTTGCTAATACTGCTTGTCCTTTGTGGGTTGGCAGGGGAACTCTAACAGACTCAGGCTAATGGAGAAACTGACATATCAAATCCTAGTGGTCTCCATCCCAGAGAGGAAAGTGAACTCTGGAGGGTCTCACATCAGTAATTCAATAATCCACCCAGGAAAAGACCCATGTTCCTTCTACTCACTGACTAGAACTAGTTTCACAGGCCTGTCCAACCCCAAGGAGATGAGGAAGTTCACTCCACGTACATTGAAAGGGTGGAGAATTGGAAATACTAAGAGAAAAGCATTCATCCATGGAACCTAAGAAAAGTCTAGCCAATTGTGATTATTAACATTTACAAGCTACTATCTGACCCAGATGAACATGAGGCAACTGCAATTCACATTTTTAAGCCTCTTTGTGTTTCAGTCAAGGAAAATCACTCTCAACATTTTGCTCCTAATTACTCTGTATCCCTCTCAAATTGTTTCTACTTTGAGGTAAAGTGTCTTGAGAACCCTAGTGCAAACTGCCAGCTCTGTCTCAGCTTCCTTGCCCACAGCCTTGGCACTTGGGCGCTCCTTGAGTGTCCTCCCCCTATCAGCCCCCTCACCCCCCTTTGCCGTCACCCTGGAGCAGCTTGCATGCATCACTGGTTCACGGGATGGCAGCAATACGCAAGGGCACCTCAGAGTTGGAAAGGAACTGCCTTCTGCCTGCCAAGGACAAATGCAGACACACAAAGCAGTATCAAGCAAGAGTTCACTTCAAAGGGAACCCTGCCTGGGCTTGCCAAGAGCAGGGCTGCCTCTGAACCTCTCCCTTCAGCCTTGTTAGTGTTCTCAGAGCCCAGGGGGCCAGTGGTGTTCCCACCAGGCCCCCTCACTCACCCAGCACCCGCCTGTTCATCCTGACACCCAAAGCTGCTCAGGCTCCCCCTCAATCTGGCCTCAACCACTTGAACAGAGTTGAATGCCAAGTGTCTAAAAATACTGGGTGATTAGGAAGGAAAATCCATGAGAAATATTTACTCTGGGAAGTCTATTTGAGCAGGAGAAAATAATACTTTACTCAACCCATTCAGCGTAACAACCCTTAGAAAGTTAGGTCCCTGCTTTAAGCTTCAGGGGAAAAAACCCCCAAAAAGGAAAATGTACTTAGGGAGGAAGGAAGAGGGCTCTCCGAGCAGAGACTGGGGACATTAGTCCC